GAACAAACAACTTTCTTCACATAGCTCTTTCTTTATGCTGTTAACCCTTAAGTTGTGCGCAGCAAATTGTCATATACTGTTGACGAAGCAATTATTTGTTCGAAGCAGATCGCTTTTTGAAAGTTTTACGACTGTTTATAATTGTTTGGAGATCAAAGATCATGACGTGGAGAAAGTTGAAGACTTGTTTCAAGAGTATGATACATTGTTTGATCGAGGAAAAGGCGAATTGTGTTAGTGTTTACCTTGTACCTCTTTCTATTCTAGCCTTAAAGCTGTTTTTTTTTTAACTGTTGTCAGATTGAACAGAAAAATCAAGTTATTGTTTTGAAAATTTCCACAGAATCTAATTCAAATTGCCTATGATAAAGCTTTGAGTTGTGGAATTAGTGGAAGTTGATCTTCTTTTCGTCAACACACCCCTTCCTCTTTCCCATTTTCCCTCCAGTCCCTTGAAATTTCACTTTTTTGCAGGAATTAATTGATTCAGTTAGAGTAGTATTTTGTCAGCTAGAACTATCCTCTGATAAAGCTGTCAGTGATTCGTACAAATTTGTTGTATATGAAAATTTTGTTTTTGCTATAAATATAAGCATCACGGGAAAAAAATAAACTTTCTAGTGATGTATGTGACTCAAAAATAAAAATACGTCAAACGTCGAATTATATACACAGCTATTTTTAAGTCCGGTGGATTAGAGGGAACAGATTTCTCTTTACTAAAACCGATCCTTGAGCTTTTTTTTTTTGCTTGATTTGTTCAGAACAGCTGTGCATTTTGAGTTATTTTTAAAAATAAGTGAAAAATGATGGTCTTCCGAGGGACGGGTGCACCTGAGGACCGGATATAAGAGGGGCTGGAACGAAGAATGGGGTACACTTATTGAATATAAAAGCGGCCGGAGCGAAGGATGGAGCAAATTGGTATGTTACAGGTAACGTCAAGAGTTCCACACCAGAAATCCGGGAGATTTTGGTGTTTTTATATGACATTTCTGTGAGGGTAATTAAGTTTTTTTTGGTTATCCAAGTTAAGAAAAAACTTATTTTCCTTTGTTCCTGTTTCTTTACTGATCAAATGTCTGAACAAATGTAAGACGGTTAGTTTGCCTCAGGCATTCGGATTAAGTCGAGTGCACTTCTCTTGGCTTTTTTTTTTTTGGTTTCTTACATTTTTAGAAGAAAAAAGATGGAAATGAAATACTTTTGAAATGGAAAAACTAAGTGTCGAAGTAATTACTTACCTCATAATTTTTTATTTTTATTGAATTCACTTTTTTTCTTCTTGGGTCTGTGGGAGAGGTTGGTACAAGTTTCGCTGAATGAATATGTCCTTCAATCGGTGTTTAACTCTTTTGAAAATTGCTTGGAAACAAGTTAATTACGCCTGTGACATCTCGGGTTGGGCATCCGGGCTCGGAGTTTTAATTCCAGACATTTTGAGAAAAAGATGTGAGGGTTTTTTAAGCCGCATAATTTTTTTGATTTTTTGGAAAAGGATTATTATGATATGAGGATTACGAGGATTATTATTATTATTTTTTAATATGATTATTATTACTCTTTTCTTGTGTTTGTGATGTAATTACGTCATATCCGAGGAACTAATGCGTCATTCTATTCTGTTTTTCTGTTTTTTTTTCTAATTATATCATTGTGTTTGCAAGTATCTTCGCCTACTGCCTTTGAGGACGCTTTAGCTAAAACTTGCCACATCGAAAATCTTATTCTAGCTCGTAAAGCACCCAGGTCCTGGTGATCAGCCTAAAGCTATTAATTCTTTAGAAGAATAGGGTGCTTGAGCGGCCCAGATATTTTTTGCTTGTTATGCTTTAATCTCATCTAAACAGACAAAAATCAAAATACGTCATCGGAGATGTGCTATACTATGCGGATACCTACTGTGCGTCGTTCACTGACCCTTTGTGTCATCACTGCTTCATCTATCTTTGCAACCGAAGTTATACATTTTCTAATAAATGGTATATTTACATTTTTTTTCACGAAAATCCCAAAGAAAGTTAAATATCTTTTACTAAAATTTAGCAAATATGGATGAATTGGGATATGGGGACACGGTAGGGTTTGTTTCAAGCAAAAGTCTCTAAATTTGCAATACTTCTTCGTTTGCCTAATGCCACTGATTTGAGAGAATTATCCCTAGAGACCAAAGACTTTGCACCTTCGTTCCTCTTTCGTCTAAAAAAATTATTATAGTTATGCCGTAAAGCCAATTTTCTTGATACTTCATTAATCCATCACAGATTCGTATTCAGAACATTCTCTGTCTAATGGTATAGCTGACAGCCGTGCCATCGACTTCGGTCCTGAACTCTCCTCATCCACAGCACACCGTACGATCGAGTTAGTGGATCAGCCCAGTGCATCCACGGCTTCCCAGCTGTTCTTTTAACATGCTTACTTGAATACTTAAGCAGCTGTTTGTCATCGTTGTTCGCTGTCACGCCATCGATGCAGCCGGCAACTTCTCCATTCCATTCGTTGTATCACTCTCCAAGTCCACGCGGTACCCTACAAGTGTACCATGAGGTCTTTCCACCTTACCAGTGTCCTCCTCAGTGTCAGCTTGACCATGTGCGGGTACCATTCCACTCCATTATCCGCCTCGTCAAAATATATTTGCCTGTATAAATGTTACATGCACTCGAAAGAGCAGATCTTAGTTCTTATGAATACATATAAGCACAGATTAACACAGTTTGGAAGTCTGAAGAAACGATCAGTACAATAGGCCTGCCTTTGATCCGATGGTCACTGTGATGTGGTTTTGAGGGGACTGATGAACGCTGAAGCCAAGGTCATCTCGCCGCTCCACCGCTCTCCACGCTGTCCGTCATTTGATAGTTGTAGGCATAGGAAGCTGATTCTTCATTCATTCCCCTATTTCTCTTGATTTAGTTATGATTATTGATATGCCCTCATTATTTGAGGAAATTAAGGTATTGTTTTTAGCGAACTGGGTTTTTTCCTATGTTTATTGTTTGCACTTATGCAAAATAAAGCACTTTTTATGTGTGTGTATGTGTGTGTATGTGTGTGTGTGTGTGTGTGCGTGTGTGTATGTGTGTGTATGTGTGTGTGTATGTGTGTGTTATATGCATGCATGAATGTATATGCAGTAGATTACGTTTTAATCTGTGATAATTGGTCTAAACATGGTAACTACCTAATAAATTGTAAATAATGAAAAAATAATAATATTAGTAAATGCTTGTAAAAAATACAGTAGGGAATTCAAGGGAACCTTACGTGTTTGTCGGTCTGAATATGTATAATTATTTATGTTGGCC